ATTGCAGCACCTCTGGAGGGAGCTTATTACAGAAGTCTGGACCCCCTGACTGTGAAGACATTTTTCTTAATGTTGAGCCTGAATCAGTCTTCCAGGAGTTTGTGGCCATTACTCCTGGTTTTCCCCTCAGGTGCCCTGGTGGACAGTTGCTTACCAAGCCCTTGATGTACTCCCTTAGTGTAGTGGTTAGCTGCTACCAGGTCCCCTATCAGCCTTCTTTTCCTCAGGCTGAAGAGTCCCAGATCCCTCAACCTTTCCTTCTGTGGCTTCCCTTTTAAGACTCTGATATCTTCTTTGGACTCTCTCAAGCTTGTCCATGTCCTTGTTAAAGTGTGGTGCCCAGAACTGGATGCCGTATTCTAGCTGCAGTCTCACCAGTGCTGAGTAGAGCGGAATTGCTGGAGTTGCATCGATTGATGCGTGCCAGAGTATTATTTGCCCTACTGGCTACAGCATCACACTGCTGGCTCATATCCGTACTGTGGTGTATTATTACCCCCAGGTCCGTTTCCTTCTTGGTGCTAGTCAGTTTGGTGCTGCCAAGCATGTAGGTGTTAGGGGTTGCTTGTCCTGAAGTGGAGCACTTTACATTTTTCAGCATTGAACTTCATCAGGTTCCGATCTGCACCAACTTGCTAGCCTGTCTAGGTCTACCTGTAACTAGCTTATCTTCAAGCATGATCACACTTCCCCATAACCTGGCGTCTTCCATGAACTTGGCCAGTGAGCTCTTCACCCCCACATCCAAATCATTAATAAAGATGTTGAAAAGTACTGGTCCCACTGACCCCTGTGGGACACCACTGCCCACTTCTCGCCAGGATGATACAGATCCATTCACTACTTCCCTCTGCACTTTCTGCATTCCCTCAGCAATCTCAGGTGTAGTCTATCCAGTCCTGCTGACTTGGAGACATTCAGCTGCCCCAATGTTCCCTCACCAGTTCAATACTGACCACTGATTGGCAGTTGCTTCCCCCTGCATCCATCCAATATCTGACCAGTCGGGCAACCACCTGGATTTGCAGGAACAGCAATGCAAAGTATTCATTAAAGAGTTCAGCTTTCTACTGACTGTTGGTATCAACTTTCCTGTCCCATTCTGCGAGGGCCCCACATTTCCCTTGGTGTTCCTCCTGTTCCCTGTATACCTAAAGAAGGACTTATTGCCCTTGATTTCAGTCGCCAACCTGATTTCAGTTGCTGGTCTTGCCTTCCTTATCCTCTCCCTACAAATACAGGCTTTACTCCTTGGTGACTACCCCTTGTTTCCACTGTCTGTAAGCCTCCTTTTTCTTTCTTAAGCATTCCTTGACTCCTCTGGTAAGCCGAGAGAGCTTCCCAGCCCCTTTACCACATTTCTTGCATACAGGAATGGACCTTTTCTGCACTCTGAGGAACGATCACCTTTCCTGAACTCTTCCTCTCCACTCCCTCTTCCCATAGAGTCTCTCGCACTATTTTCCTAAGCATATTGAAGTCCGCCTTCCTGAAGTCAAGCACCTCTACCCTATTGGCTGACTTCCCTGCCCTATGACAGTAGGTAGTGAATTCTATCATTTTATGATCACTATCTCCCAGATTACCCTCAATCCTCAGATCTTCTGCTAGGTCATTCCATTTGGCTAGAACCAAAATCAACAAAGCTTTCCCTATAGTCAGCCCGTTCACCTCCTGTACTCAATAAAGTTCTTCCACTCAGGTCAAAAACCTACGTGACTGGTCAGATCTGGCTGAGTTCTCCTCCCAGCAGATGTCAGGGTAATTGAGGTCACCCATGACAGCCATGTCCCTTGAACGTGCAGCCTCCATCAGTTTTTTGAATGTATAAGTTTCCATAGATGGTAGGGTCAGGAGGGACCTCAACAAATCATTGAGTCTGACCCCCTGCCTAGGCAGGAAAGTGTGCTGGGGTCAGATAACCCCAGCCAGATGTCTATCCAGCCTTCTCTTAAAGACCCCCAGTGTAGTGAAAACTTCTGGGTGTTGACAGTTCTGCTTGGAGGCAATTAAGAGGTCCTTTTTACCCCATTTGACCTTCCTAAATGATGCACAAAAAGCAGAATCTGTCCCCTGAATCTGATCCTTTGATCTTTCTCAAATGTGTGTGGCCCTTAAGCTAAAAAGTTTTGATGCTATTTTAGATACTGTCCTTGCCTTTGGTACTGCCTAGGAAAACAAATCCTTAGTACCTGAGGAACTCTTTCTGGTATTCCTAAATGTTCTAATTTGTTTGCAGTTAATCTCATGATAGACCAACAGAATATTCACCCTGAGCATAATTTACATTATTGTGATGTAAAAACTTCCTTTACTAGTCCCAGTGTAATTTACATCAGTAAACAAAGCACATGTAAAATTAAACTGAGGGTGTGGACAGACAGAATGGTGTGAATGTTCTAAATATTGGAAACCCAAAGAGTCTGGGTGTGCATGCCACTTAAGACCATCTTTAATTTCCTAGAATGTTTCAAATGCATGCCAGGAAAATCAAGTACTATTTTGAGCCAGTCGTGTTGTGAACCAGCAAAATGTTACATGGGGACACAGAGCATTCCACGTCTTGTATCTGGTCAGTCCTTCAGGCATCCAAAAGTGTACCACTTCTCACTCCCTCCCCCCTTCCCCCAATTTATGCAGGCAAGGGGCTGCTCTGGAATGTCTCTGGTTCAAACCCCCCACTCCTAGCTTCTCTCCCCCACTGGGGTATGCATACCACAATGTGGGAGCAGAAGCAGGGGCTGATTTTAAGTCCCCACATCAGGAAAGTAACCCATCCTCGGCTCCTGGTCCTGCCACCTACTACCTGCTCCCTTCCCCTCCATGCTCAGCAGCACCCTCCTCCCATTCCCCAACTCCCCTGCCCACCACTGCCACTGTCCTTGCTGTCCCCCACTGGTCCAGGGGGCCTTTGGCTCCAGAGCTGGAACTGCCTGTTTCCAACTGGGAACAGCAGAGGTAGGGGTGAGTTCCTCCTCTCTGACCAATCCTCTGGGTGTTCCCTGCAAGCATGGGGAGGGGGAACCCACCCACAGCTGCTGTACCTGACTGAAGCAGAGTAGAGGTGGCTCTGGAACCTTACCCCCATCAACTGGAAATAATAGGGATGGGAAGAAGGGGATGTACTGCCAAGGATGGAAAGGGAAGAGGAGAGAGATTCTTACCCTCTGCCTCCACAGCATGGTCTGCTGCTCCCACAGCCTGGTCTGAAAGTGTGGTGTATCCATGTCACTGCACCCCTTATGGATCTGTCCTTTCCAAGTGCTAGGAGGCTGTATGGTCTACTGGTTGTGGTTCTGGGAAGGGTGCTACATGCTCCGGGTCTCCCCAAGATCTCTGCAGCTCTTCCACACATGCTTAGACAGCCACAGTGTCAATTTCATTTCCTTGCTATGCTAGGGACAGACATTCAAAAAGCCTGAGCCTGAATTGATTCAGTCTTTTCAGGGTAGTCTAACCTGCCTAGATTGAATCAGTTTGTAACTGGACAGACTTTCCCTCTGGACTGAGGAAATGCAGGCACTTGCCTGCTGTGGCTCAGGCTGGAAGCCGGGAGGTGCTAGAGCAGCCCTCACTTCCCTTTCATCCCCCAGTCAGCACTCTGAGGCAAATGGTGGGTATGCAGTGCATGCATCCGTTGATGATACAACCTCCCTCTCCCTGCTTCTTCATACTGTCTGCAAATCTGACAGGCGAGAGAGCCAGCAGGGGGCTGATGATACAGCAGTTATTAGCCCATCAACAAAACAAAAGCCTCTCTCTCTAGTTCAAGCATTTCTGAAACAGCTTTTTTTAGGGAAGGAACAGAAAGACATTACCAGCTGACCTGTTGATTAGCTCCAAAAAGCCCTAAGTGAACACTGTCCTGTCTGCCTTTGTCCTGTCCCAGTGAAATTGGACATGCGCACGCACACACATGCGCACATGCACACACACACGCACCTCTCAGCATTAGCTAATGTATCTCATGCGTAGGCTCTGTGGGGCCTGGGGTCTGTGTTGTGGGAGATGGGAGCTAAGGAGGGGGGGAATCCCTGCTCAGGCAGCAGGTGGTGAGGGATGGGGTGGGTCAGGGGGGAGCCAAGCAGACCTTTCTGTGCCTGCATGGAGCAGAGAGCACAGCCCAGGGCTGCAAAGTATCTGGGATGCTGGGGGACTCTGGTTTAAGTTAAACCAGGAAGGGGTCTGGGACAGACATTGCATAAAATGGTTTGACCCAAATCAGTGAAGTCTGATACTACATTCAACCAAGTTTATCTTAAACTGGTTTCAGCCTTTTCAAAACTGATGTGTGTGCACTGAACTTTTGTTCTTTTAAAGGTTTAAACCAGTTTCTGATAACTTAAACCGTTTATGTGTAATGTCTGTCTCTAGCCCTAGAAACCCTGCACTCTGGCGTGCCATGCTTATTTGGGGTAAGGGGGAGAAATGGAGGGGTTAACAGGGGTTGGCTTATAATTGGCAAAAAGATTGATTCCACCTGCAAGGATGGGTATTATCTACCACCTCTTACGTGGTATAGCTGTTTCTTTACACTGCTCTAGGCAGCGTGGGCCAACCTTTTTTGTAGGCATGCTACAAATTAAGCCTGCACTCTCCCCAAGTACCACCCTGATCCCTTTTCTCTGTTTTTTGCTCTTCCCCAATCTGCCAAATGCCACACAGAGAGGCTGACTGTCGTTTGTGGCAGACATACTACAGGTTGGCCACCCCTGCTCTAAAGAATGACCAGCTGAGGTTTTTTTTTTTTTCTTGTACAGGTTTAAATTACTACACAGAACAAAAGTCTGTGGAGAACTGGATCTGATATGTCATGCTGATCTCAGATCCTGATTAAAACCACTTCACTAGCCAAACAGGAATAGCTGTAATACTCTTCTTAACACTCTGAGTATTGGCCTGCAATGAAAGAGCTAGGACATAGCGGTGCCCTTTTAAGTAAAGGTCAAAGTATTAATTTTAAGCTCATGATATGTACTTTACTGCCTTTTTCTTTGCAGACTAAATGTCATCAGTATTGGCCTGATCCACCAGAAATAATGGAGTATGGCAACTTCCGTGTCAAATGCCAGTCTGAGGATTGCACTATTGCCTATGTTTTTAGGGAAATGGTGCTTACAAATATTGAGGTAAGTGCCTGCTGTGGCATAGGCTTGAATAATACTTTCACAGTGGTATGAAACACTTCTGAAAGGTAGATTATTGTAGCAATATGAGATGAAAGTACAAGCATGTTTATCTTTTAATGGCTTTAAGAGGGGAGAGGGCGCTCCTGCTTGAAACAGTGCATCAGTAGCTACCATCTAACTGTTATATCTTCACAGAGGCATAACTGGCCAGTATTGTGCTCTAGGTGGTAGTAGCACCTGGTACAGGAGCAGCAGCCAGAGTTTGCTGCTGTGGCAAGAGGGGGGAGATGTTACTTCCTGTTCCTGGCAAAATGTATGTGGCCAATTAAATACCAATATTTGGCAGCAAAAAAGGAAGTGAAATGTCCCCCTGGCAGCAGCGAACCTCCAGCAGCTGTTCCTGTATCATGTGCTGCTGCTTTCTCCACCCTTTTGCCAGAGCTGGAGCCACTGCAGGGAAGGTGCAGTGTGTGGGGAAAGGGGTGGGGATAGAGAGGGGGAAAGAGATGAAGCACCCCTCAGCTCCATTCCAGTACCCCCTCTTAGGCAGCACCCAGATCTCATGTCTCTCACCAACCCATTGTTTTGCTATTGTATCCGTTTGATCTTATAGTGACGCGAGTGAGCTAAATCACTGTAACTTTGACTTTGAATGAAAAAGGGTTAAAGTTGCAGTGTTTTCTATACTTGTACTGTCATAGGATATTGCAGTCATAACAGTTGCATCCTCAAGTTACGTTTTCACTTTGATCATACTAAATTTGGTATGTGAAAGGGTGGTAAAGTTAGAACGTGCAGTTGCATGTTATGGGTTAATACCTTTTTTTGCCTGCACAGTTCTGACTTGCTAGAAGGCTCTATCCCTGTGGGTGGGGTGCTGGAGGGTGTGCATCCTGGGAAATTGCTAGTTTTCTCTCCCTGGAGCAGACTGAAGTTACCCTAGCACAAGTTAGGTAGCATGGCTCAGAGTGAACCCTCTCCTGACAGGGCATAATTTTGAGATGCTCAGAGGGCACTTAGCAAGAGTTAACAAGCTCCAACATGCAGACATTCACATTTTAAGTACCATTAGTATGGTCTAAGTGTAACATATAACTTCAACTTTATATTGTTCCCTTGGATATTGCTACAGTTGTTATGTCTGCCTATATCCTAATATCATATGAATTGGTACATTTTGATTAGGTTTCTACATGGGCTCCCCAAAGCTAAATGATTCTGCAGAACCTTCTAGTGAGTTGAAGTGTTAAAGGGGTAGTCAAATAACTAATTTAAGCCTCTTTTATTATTACTGTTACTATTGAGATATGTGACAGAAAAGCTGAGTATTTAAAGTGGCTCTCTACAGATACAGGAGGCATAAATTCAAGCTTCACACTGGACCTCTGCTGAAGGCTGACCTCTCTGTAAATAAGTACCTTTTTATTTAGGCTGGGAAGCCAAAGATGGCCAGAAGCAGTGCCAGCTATGTCCGTACACTGTGTGTAATTGGCTACAGAACCTGGTGTGCCTTAACCACGCAAGCCTGATAACCCATCTTGGCTAAGGCAAACCCTTGACCATGGTGATTCTAATATACAACATCTTTGCAGTCCATTCTGCTTCACAGACACTAATACATTTAATTTTGGGGATTTTTTTTCCTTGTCCTAAGCAGGGTTTGAGAGATGCTGACTCTAGGGTATAATTAGGTTTTTAACTCCATCCTAATTTTGTTCCTTCAAAATTAAACAACAAGCTACTAATTCTGTCCAACACCTCCATAAGGCAATTAGCAGAAAAAGCCAAATATTGTAACATTGCTTTGAGGGAAGAATCTTTAGCACCCCTGTGATTCCAATTCAACTTTCAAAAAGCAGCTTGAATACTTTAAAATTTATGTAAAGTGTTTTATGCTTCATTTGGTAATATATTGTTCTAATGAAAAAGCTGGCAAATGGGTGTGCAAGTCAAATACCTGAAGCATTTATATAGATGAGCTTGCACTCCAAAGTTCCCATTAAACTTCTTGTAATTTCAGTTAATTTCAACCAGTTGGATTCCTGACCATTCTCAATTAGCCTACTGTCTCCTCCAACATGTAAGATAGCAAATTATCTATATAGGATACATAGTGACCAGATTTTTAATTAAATGCTAAATATGAATTGGAAGTTGTTCCTTTTGAACTTGTTTTACTTTTGGGTATTGATTGAAAAACATCTTTTAAACATCTATCCAGTTCATGGCTGTCTAGTTGGGTAAGCTGTTACTGAGTTTGCTAGTAACACTAAAAAAAATCAGGTCTTACAGAAGTTATGTTTCTACCTTTTATGTTTTAATGATATGAAAGCAAAGCCATTTAGTCCCATAAAGTATGATATATGTTGTTAATCTATTGAATAGACTGTATTTGACTATAAGGGGTTTGGAGGTTTTCTGTTTGGTTGTTCAGTGCCAAGTACAAATACCTACATTAGTGTCAATATGGGAAATGTCTTTAAACTGTATTGATTTATATTAACATTACCTAGCGATGGGACATAAACAGGTTATAAAACACTAATGACCATAAGTGCCATTGTTCTACTTATTGTCCTACTAGTGATAAACATGAAATGCCAGCAAAAGATCATTTTATTTCATTTTTAAAATAGAGTTATAGCAGTGCTTCAGGGCATGTCTAGACAAACATTTTTATTCCTGGAACTCAAGTTAATTCACTGCCAATTAACTTGATTTAGCTAACACTAGCATTTTTAGCATAGATTCACCACCAACTTTGTTCAAGCTAAAATGTAAAATGTCTGTCCTGAAACATGAGATCATGGAACATCTACATTAGTATTCAGAAACAGCTAAGTGGTTGGCTAATTGCGTTAACTGGTGATCAGCTTGATTTATAATAGATGCATAGCATCATAGGAAAGTAGAGCTGGAAAGAGACCTCACACCATCATCTTGTCCAGCTCCCTGCTCAAGGCAGAAACATCCCTGACTAAAGCATCCCAGCCAAGCTTCTGTCCAACCTACTCTTGAAAATTTCCAGGGATGTAGATTCCACAACTTCTCTAGGTAACTTGTTCCAATGCTTGACCGCCTTCATGTGCAGAGGTTAGGGACAGACATTACACATAAACCGGTTTAAGTGATCAGAAACTGGTTTAAACCTGTAACAGAACATAAGTTCAGTGCATATAAACCAGTTTCAAAATGGCTGAAATTGGTTTAAAATCAACCTGGTTGAATGTAGTATCAGACTTCACTGATTTGGGTCAAACTGGTTTATGCAGTGTCTGTCCCAAACCTCTTCCTGGTTTAATTTAAACCGGAGTCCCCCAGCATCCCAGATGCTTTGCAGCCCTGGGCTGGGCTCTCTGCTCCAGAGAGCAGAGCTGGCCCCGCTCCCCTGCTCCCTAGCTGGACCTCCAAAGGAGATTGCAGGCACAGCAGGGTCTGTCTGGCTTCTCCCTGCCCCTCCCCACCCCCTCCAATTGTTGCTGAAGCAGAGATTTCCCCCTCCCTCCCTCCTATCTCCTACAGCACGGATCACAGCCCCACGGATGTGGTATACTAGCTAATGCTGAGAGGTATCTGTGTGTGTGTGTGTGTGTGTCTCCAATTTCACTGGGACAGGACAAAGGCAGACAGGACAGTGTCCACTTAAGGCTTTTTGGAGCTAATCAACAGGTCAGCTGGTAATGTCCCTCTGTTCCTTCCTTGGAAAAAGGTGTTTAAGAACTCGAACTAAAGAGAGAGGCTTTTGTTTTGTTGATAGGCTGATAAATGCTGTTGTTAGCCCCCTGCTGGCTCCCTTGCCTGTCAGGTTTTCAGACAGTATGAAGAAGCAGGAAGAGGGAGACTGTATCATCAACAGATGTATGCACTGTCCACACCCCTTTTGTCTTAGAGTGCTAGCCAGGGGCTGGGGTCTGGCAACACTCCTACTCCTTGAGCAGTGAGCGGGGAAAAGCCTGGGACTGTGCAGGCAGGGTGGGGGTTTACACCCCTCCCTAATCAGAGCATCCTGCCAGGGTGTGGCCATGCTCCACCCCCCTCAGCTCAGCATTGTGGAAGGGAAGTGAGGGAGGCTCTAGCAGCCCCGGGCTTCTAGCCTGAGCCACTGCAGGTATGTGCCTGCATTTCCTCCATCCAGAAGGAATGTCTTTGCAGTGGCAAGCTGATTCATTCAAGGCAGGTTAGACTATCCTGGTAAGATTGAATCAATTCAGTCTCAGGCTTTTTGAATGTCTGTCCATAGCCAGAAAGTAGTTCATCCTAATATCCAATCTGAATTTCCTCTGCTGCAGCATGAGACCATTTGCATCTAGTCCTCTTACCTCTAGCCGCAGAGAAGAGCTCACCTCTGTCCCCTCTATCATTGCCCTTCAGGTATTTGAAGACAGTTCTCTCATCTTCCTTCCGTTTTCTCTTCTTTAGACTAAATAACCCACACTATTTTAGCTTTTCAGCGTAAGACATGCTTTCCCAGGCCTCTAATAAGTTTTGTTGGTCTCTGAAAGACTTTGCAATCTGTCCACATCCTTCTTGAAGTATGGTTCCCAAAACTGGACTCAGTACTTCAACTGAGGCCACACCAATGCTGAATAAAGCAGAAGAATCACTTATCTTGATTTGCAAGTGACACTCCTGTTAATACAACCCAATATACTGTTGGTCTTTCTTACAGCAAGAGCGGTGTTGGCTCATACTCCACTTGTGGTCTACTGTAAACCCCTATGTCCTTTTCTATAGTTCTGCAGCCTAACCAGTCATCCTCCAGTCTGTATTTGTGCATACAATTATTCCATCCCAAAGTGCAGTTATTTATTGATGATACAGAACTTTCGTTTAGTCTACATTTGTTTAGATTGTTAACAAGTAGGGATCTGGGTTTTTCATTTCCCATTGGAGGAGGAGCAAACCATGGATTTTACCTGTTACTGGAGGCAAACAAGAAATTCATATTTTACTGGGGAAACCTGTGGATTTTTGCAGTTTTGTGACAAGCCCTTTGCAGA